ACGTGATCTCCAAGTAGCGGGACAACTTCCTGACACTATCCAGAAATTTTGGACAGCAATGTGACAACCCTAGTGCTAAGGGTTAGGATGACTTCGGGAGCAAGGAGAGGATGGGAAGGTGATGGCCGACCAATGCTGGGGAAAGCAGCTTCTTCCAAAGAGAGAAATCTGAAATTAGATTTCTGATTTGGCCAAGTAAAGATGGGGTATTTGAAATTTGAATTTCAAATAAATAATGGAGAGAATTAATAAATATTTCCCCTAATTAATCCCTTAATTTGGGAAGGATTTATTGGGGATTTGGAGAGAGGAAGGGAGAGGGTAGGAGAGAGGGAAAATTTTGAATTTTTCCCAAAGAGAAATACTTGATGTTGGAAAGTATTCAAGTATGGGGCATGCATGGGATCGGCGGCATGTATGATTTTGGGGGGCTTGGAGAGGAGTTATGGCTTACCAAATCAAGACCCTTTAATTGGGAAAGAGAAATTAAATCCAATTCAATTTGAATTTGATTTGGGCTTAATTTATGGGACTTTCCTAAAATAGATTTCTATTTTAGGAAACATTTCAAATTTCAAGATTGATTGAAAATTTGAAATTAAGGCTCTCCAAAGTGGGAGCTATGCAAAAGGAAACTATTGATGAGGTGTGAGATGTGGAGGGAAGGGAATTAGGGTTTGGAGGGTGGCGGCTAGGGCTTGGCTTGCTAAGGTCGACAGTTATGGAGGTAGGGGATGTAGGGGCTGCCCGAAATAAGGAGGTGGGGAATGTAGAAGTGGTGGTTTGGTGGTGCCGGTGGCATGTATCATGGTTTAGGGTGGCCGGCAGCTAGGATAAGAGGGGAAGAAGAGAAGGAAAAAATAGGAAGAAAATAACCACAAACCCGGACCCTTCCAAGGTTGGTGGGTGATCCGATTACACTCTCCTAAATATTTCTTCTCCAAAGACTCTCAAGCTCTCACAATAACTCAATATGTAGAAATTGTTATAATACATTCATTAATCTCAAAAGAAACATATGGGCTTATATATAGCCTCCTACAATAAAAAGAAAATAAAAGATGACATTACCCCTATGGCGTACATGCGACAAAGCCCTTAAAGGCAAAACGGGAAAAGCTACTAAAACAAATACATAAAGAAAATAAATAAAACAAATACATATGACGACTCAAAAGTAGATCGGTGCGATTGTGATCCTCGATCGTCGGCCACGTCTCTGAAAGACCTTTCATGATCTGATGTCCACATCATTAGGGTTCCAAAGGGGAAAGGGAATTAATGTTGGAGAGAGAGAGGTAGGGAGGTGCCCCGCTTTATGCTTGGGTGCAAGTGGGGGTTGGGGTGGTGATTTAAAGCTTGCCTTATTTAAAACCTTAAATGAGGAATAATTGATTTAAATCAAATCCTATTTAAAATTCAAATATGATTGATTTAAGTAACTTTTTAAAAATAAAACAATGTAGATTACGAAAGAAATTTCAAATGAAGGAAATCAGATTTTAATACTTTCCTATTGTGATTTGCATCCAATAAGGAAAGCACTAAAGAGCGAATCGAAATTCAGAGGCAAAGGAAGAGGGATTGATTGGGGCCGGCGGCTTAAGAGTAGGGTTAAGGGTGGTCGGCGGCAAGAACTAGGGTTTGGGTTTGGGTAGTGGTTAGGAGTAGGGTTAGGGTTTGAGCTTGGGGCCTGGCAGTTAGGTTGAGGGAAGAGAGGAGGTGGCCGGCGGCTTTGGAGGAGTTGAGGGAGAATCGGTGGCAGCTATGGAGGGGAAGGAGATCTTAGGGTTTAGGGAGAAGAGAGGAATCACGAACCCGGACGCTTCCTGCGGTTGGTGGGTGATGCGTTGCCCTCACCTAGGGACTTCAAGTTCTCCAAGAATTCTCACAAGAGCTCTTAAGTTCTCAAAAATACAAAGTGCATAACTTTCTTAATAATATTCATCATTACCCTCTCCAAAGAGGAAGAGGCTATAAATAGCTAATGTTTACAATGAAGAAATAAAAGACACTAATATCCTAGAGGTTACAAATAACTATTATTAATAAAAAGGAAAAACTGTGATAATAAATCAAATACATATAATAACTTAAAAATAAAACAGTGCGATCGTGGCCGTAGATCGTCTGCTCTGTCTCTGGTAAACTCTCCATGGCCGAATGTCCTCATCATATTAAGGAGGTTGATATGGAAAATTATGTTTTGAATCAATCCTCTATCAGAGTTGATAATACAGATGAAGCTGCTTTAGTGAAGAATAATTTATAATTTGGGATTTAAATTATGGTATTCACGTAGAAGTTATACACTTATACAAGAAACGGTAAATGTATAATTATATAGAAGAGTTTAAAATATAATGTTGTAGAAATTAATAAAATTAATATAGTATAGAATTATAATTTTGAAGCTTGTTCTCTAAAATTAATATAATAAGAACTTATGCTCTTACAGTAGATTTGGATGTGTTGAAAATTAAAATCTTGAAATTATTTAGAAGAATTAATACAAAGAATTCCTCTTAAAGAAAGGGTGTTTATTGGACTACATTTAAATTGACCTATTGGTAGAGTGATAGAAGATTTAAAAGCATTCATAGTGGCTATAAATTTGGAGCGATTAATGAAGCTAGTAGGACCATATTAGATTTTGTTCTAATTTATGATTTTATAATTGTTAATACATTATTTAAGAAAAGAGATCATTTATAAGAATAGATATAATAAAACTTAAATTGATTTTTTTCTTATAAGAAAATATATTGTTTAGATTGTAAAGATTACAAAATTATTTCGAGTAAAAGTTTATGAACCCAATATTGCTTATTAGTTTTGAACTTTAAGATAAAATAACGGAATACAAAAAATTAAGTAAAATATTGTTTTATGATTAGATGATGACATTTAAAAAATACTAACAAAAATATTTTTAAAAATAAGGTTAAAAATCTTAATATTTTAACTACACATGAGAAAGTTAATGTTCAGTGAAAAAAAAAATTATTGATATTAAAAAATGTTGCAAAATATATACTTAAAGTATTAAAGGAGAAACCCCTAATAGTAAAAATAATTAATGGTGGAATCAAGATATAAAAGAAAAGATAAAAAATAAGAAGTTTTATTATAAAAATTGATTTAGACGTAAAAGCCCAAAAAAATTGAAAAAATATGAAGGGGCCTGTAAGGAGTTTAAGAAAATAATATGTGATGCAAAGAATTTAGTTTGTAATGATTTATATAATATATTAGATATTAAGGAGGACAAAATATGCACATATAAGTCAACCAAGCAAAGAGATATGAGAAGGATTCAATTCGAGTGAAATGTATTAAGGATAAAGATCAAATAGTATTTTTATTAGAAGAAAATATTCAACCTAGGTGAATGAGCTATTTTGATAAGCATTTTAATGATAATTGTGAGAATAAGATTACTTTAGTGACCTTAGTACCCTAAATGAAAAAAAGATATTTTTATTTTTATCTTTGTATTAGTAAAACCGAAGTTAAAAAGGTTTTAAAAAAAATGAAGTGTAGAAAAGCTACTGGACCTAATGATATTCCGATAGAAATGTGAAAATGCTTAGGAGATGAAAGAATTTCTTAGCTTATAAATTTTTTTAATATTATTTTAAAGACTAAAAAGATGTCAAATGAGTGGAGTATGTTGGTTCCTATTTTTAAGTATAAAGGCGATGCACAAAAATGTGTGAATTATAGAGGAATTAAGTTAACGTGTCATACATTAAAACTATGGTAGAGAGTTATTGAGCATATGTTACGACGTAAAACTAATGTTTCTTAAAATTAATTTGGATTTATATCAAGTAGGTCTACCATGAAAACTATACATTTAAGAGATTTGATAGAGAAGCAGAGAGAGAATAAGAAGGATCTACATTTGATATTTATTGATTTAGAAAAAAAAAACATATGATAAAGTTTTAATAGGAGTGCTCTAGAGGGTTCTAGAAAATAAAGAAGTTAATAATGTTTATATTCAAGTCATCAAGGATATGTATGCAGGGGTATTACTTGTGTTCAAACACGGGGTGGTTTGACCAATTAGTTTCTTATTTCAATTCAATTACATCAAGGATCAGCTTTAAGCCCATAACTTTTTAATTTACTTATGGATGTTTTTACTAGAAATTTGCAAGAGGATGTACCTTAGTGTATGCTTTTTGTTGATAAGACCAGGGAGGGGGTTGAATGAAATCTTGAAATATGGAGGTCAACATTAGAGTATAAAGGTTTTTGCTTGAGTAGATCTAAAACTGAATACATGTAGTGCAATTTTAGTAGTAATAGATATGGTGTGAGAATTGTGATTGGGTGATGAAGTCATCATTTGACCTACAGCTTCACCTATATGCATCTTCTTCAAAGCTTTAACCTTTTTTTCAATTATCTTCATTAGCTCTTCTAATGGAATTTTTAATTTTAGCTATCTTCTAATTATTTTTCAAGCTATGAATTCATTTTAAGTGATGTCTTCATCTGTAAGTAAGATCTTGGTATCTTTACTCTTAATACAACTAACTTGATAGAAAATATCTAAAACTTCTCTTATTTTAACTCTTTTATATATCCTTTTATACATCCTTAGTCCCAGCCTACGATGCAACTCATAGATGTAGCTTTGACTTCCTTAGCTAGTATCTTCACAAAAATTTTAGACTAGTGTAGTTACCATACATCTCAATTGTACTCGTTTCCTAGTTCTTTAAATGTATGTTTCTTTTCCTTAATAAACATTCTATAGTTCAATACTTCATCATCAAATCTTCTTACTAATGAACAATTTATTCCTAGGCAGTTCTATATAATCTTATGGCAATCTTTTTTGTGGAAAGTTATTTTAACACGGACCAAGTTAATTCAACTCAAGAGTTCAAAATTATCTCTTCAACAAACTATCTAGTGTTGGATAAAAACGTACGAGTACGATGAATAAATCAAACTAATATGAGAATAAATAACGCTTGATTAACCTGGTTACCGAGGTGCTCCTTAACTATTTGCAAGAACTTGGAGAATCGCATTCGGTGGATGATGTTGTCAAAGATGGCCATGTAAAGTGTGACGGGCTTAGTGGCGCCGCCCATCCCAACTGCAATAAGTTTTAAGAGAGTGATTCACACAATAACTTCGAGGCAGGGCGGGTGTTGGGGTATTGAGAGACCTGTTTTGGGGATCGAAAAGGCCTGGACACAGTTGTGCTGGATAAGAACAAGAAGACAGTCCTTCACCTGTCCTTTGTGGAGCTCGGTGAAGCGAACAACCTCCATGAAACTGAGGGAGCCACGGCGAATGAGGCATTCGCAAACCTTCTACGATTTTCTAGGGTTAGGGCATCGTGATGAAGCAAATAAACAAAGGAGTACGAGTCAGGGGACAGAGGGCTTACAGCGACAACGTCGCCGAAGTGGGTGGCAATAAGGCTGATTGTATACCTGACGCCCTGCTGCCCCACCATTTCCGGTACAATAAGAACAATAAGAAAGCAAGCGCAGCGGTCTCTACAGCTCGAGAACGGGCGGGCAGAATCTGGCCCTGGCTCCGCAGTGAGGAAGAAGAAATTGGCGGACCGTTGATATTCGGCTCAAAAGAAAACCCCAAATCATGGTATAGGTTCCGGTAAAAAAAAATTTTATTAGTCATATTTATGATAGAATATAAAATTAAAATGGCCTTAATTATCTTGAAATCTATGTTAAAATTATTCAATATAAACTAATTATATATTGTACTCAATTGAAAATAGATCCAAAAACATTAATATATATTATGATTTTTTTTATCAAAATATTTTTATAATTTTTTTTTTCTATTTCTTAAGATTTTTAGAAATACTACTAATTTAATTACATATGTTGAAAGTTCGAGTAGGTTATTAGACCTAATAGAACTGTCCCACAGCTAATCAAGAGGGGGTGACTTGGTAATTTAAAAAATATCTTAGATTTTAGAAAATTATTTTAAGAAATTTTACTCAATTATTCTGAAGTATGCGGTTGTTTGTAAAATAGATTTTCACAAAATATTTTTCAACCACAGTAATGTAAAGTGCGGAAAATTAAAATGTAGTAAAAAGTAAAAGAATAGAAGAACATCAAATTTTATAATGGTTCGGTCCAACTAGACATACGTCCACTCCATGAAGACTCCTTGTACTACACTAAATCAAAGTGACTCTCATTTTGCCCCCACAGCAAGGCGGATAAGCCTTTACAAACTCTCTTACACCAACCCGATGCGGTAGAGTACCGACGTTCTTTCCTACCCTTCTGGTGACGATAGAGAACCTTCGTCCTTTCTCACTCTCCTGATGACGGCAAAGTATCAATATCCTTGCTCACACTCCTGGTGATGGAAAAGTACTAACGTCTTTTCTCTCCCTCCTAGTGATGGTAGAGAACCGTGACACAATGTTGAAGATCTTCTCTCAAACACTCACAATCTCTCTCACACTCAATGACTACTCTCAAGAGAAAATCATAACAAAACATATTAGTGTCAATTTTTAGGACTCTTATAAATTAAACAAAAAAAACTGTCTAGTAAACTGAAAAATTACATGTCAATTGACCTAGGATCGTATAATTCAAAAATCCATGTACGAACCTATGTGAACCTTATTTCGTACTATGTTAGTTGTCTGGACAAATTGACATCGTACAGTATAAACAGTTCAAAACTGAACTTATTCATCTGGTATGATTCAGTATGAACCTAATTTCATAATTTATCGGTCATCTGCACAAACTAAAATCGTATATTACAAATAGTTAACAAAAATCATGCTTTGTTTGGTACGAACATGGACGACCCCTTTTTGTTCTCTGTGAGTCATCTGTACTAACTTACATCGTATATTACGATCAATAAAAAAACAAATAAGTTCATTTAGGACGAACTATTATGCACTCATTTCATATTATGTTAATCGTCTGCACAAACTAACTTTATACCATACATGGACGACCCCTTTTTGTACTATGTGAATCATCTGTATGAAAAACTATCGTACAATACGAACAGTTCAAAAAATTTAAGACATGATTTGATCAACTTCATTTTGGGGGAAAGAAACTTGACAAATCGTCTAGTACGATTGAAAATCATATAGAATAATTAGTTTTAAAATTCTTAAATTTTGACTCACTCCCCAGTGTGTGTGTGCACGGTTACCCAATTACAATCACGCTCTCTCAGACTAAAACAAAAAATAAAAAGTTTACAAACTTCATTCCATAAAACTCTAATCTACTCTATCTTGAAGACCTCAACAGTCTGGAGTATGATTTCCCTGAAATGTTAGTACACAAGCAACAAACATAAAATGTACCCAATCTATGTTAGAAGAAATAGCAATTAAAATAATAATATTTTATTATCATCAAAAAATCACATTATATAAAACTCAATCTTGAAGTCTAAGTTGTAACAATTTTCCTCTTTTTTATGATGACAAAATAATTATTGTATAAAAGAATATTAAATGTCATTTTTTCTCCTAAACTCCCCCTCAACGAATGCTCAATTAAAAAGCAATGAATTTCCTAGAAAACACAAGACCAAAATGAATTCAAAAATAAAACACACATACAACAAACACACATGATTAATTCAATCAATCAAACAAACAATAACAAACAAAAACTAATGACTCATCCTTTTGACAACAGCAAAAAGGGAAGTGCCTCATAAAATGGTATGTTGCTATTGACAAATCTAATAGATGATAAAGAAGAATATTTTAAACTATTTGAAAAAGACAACATTAATGTCCTTATGTGATAAGGAAAGTCTCATATTTTAAATCAAAGAACAATTAAGATAAAAAAATCAACCAGGTTCACTATTCGTTCTAGACTTATCAAATAAAATAATTATTGTAAAAATAATGAAATAAAGATTCATTAGTTTCCAATAAAATAGTGGAGATTATTGTTTTTTTTTTTTTGTTAAAACCCATAAAGGGGCTTATGTGTTAATATAGAAAAAGTAATTACAATGTCCTTAAAGGAGATCATCAGCTCACTAATGCTCTTACGAGCTACAAAATAAATCAAAATAAAACCAACGAGCTGATATTCTCCACTAAGCAAAAATACAAAATGCCCTAGTAACATTCTAATGATGCTATAGATAAGCATCCAAAAAAGAAAGTATAGATGGAATAAAGCTCAATCTTTCTACAAAAACTCTAGAAAGCAGCCAAAGGCATCTTCACCTGTAGAGAGAAACAAAAAGGAAGGCTACACCAACAAAGAAGATATGTTAAACAATAAAAGTACAATAAATGACAACTAAGAAACATAAATAAGGTGCAAAAATAGCTCCCAAAAAAGCCAATCTTAGAAATAAGACTTAAAGAGCTCAGAGTATGCATAATAACAAAAAATTCATTCGGGAAATCCACAAGCCACTCAATCCTGCCTTTTGGGTCACCCAAAACCACCTTGGCAAAACCCATCCAACAAACCAAATTACCCCCAAAAAATAGCATGAGTTACCCAAAAACCCAACATTAGAAGCCCCACTAATCGACCAAAACCAAATAAGCAACCAGTAGAACATCATCCAGGTACCAAATAACCAGAGCCTGTAGTTAACACCCATACCAACAATAGGTGACAATAACCAGGTGATACCAACCAAACCAACAGCATCCCAAACAAAACAAGACAGCCCAGCCATCACCACACAACAACCTCTAGCACCCCAAATACTAAAAGTAGGAGAGCAACAATGGGACAACACATCAGCCATAAAACCTAAAAAATCATTGCTCAAGTCCAAATTAACCAAGATAATAGCTAAAAAAAGGAAGCTCATAATGCTGGTAGCAGCAAAAATCAATTAACCGAAAGAAAATACACCAAATAGTGAGCCAGCACTGAGAGTCCCAGAACAAAATGAGCCAGCAGAGAGAGTCCTAGAATAAAATGAAAAGCTAGAATATAAAAGGAGAAACATCAGTCCATATGTCCATTCCTCTAGTAAAACGGCAAACAAACCTCCAGCAAGAATTATAACATCACATACATAAATAAAAAATAAGATGTAAAGGAGCCTCCACAACATAGATAATCCAACTAGCATAAAATGTTCCAAGAATTATACAAACACTGCACAACATCCTAGACAGCTAGCAGGAGAAAGAAATAAGCCAGTAGTAAAATAAGTCCCAGCTATCAAAAGTCCAAATGAAGAGACTAAACCCGAACACCAACCAAGAGACAAAAAAGCTAAGATCTAACATAAGGACAACCACATGCATCAAGATTAAGCAAACCAAGAAGAGGGGAAGGACTAGTGTCCCAAATAAAATCAGAAAAATAGTTCAGACTACAACCCCACATAGCCATCCAAGATGCACAGGCATTACCATCCTTGCTGATAGAAAAAGCACCAGGTTTTTAATTTCTCTAACCATATAGGAGAGGTTCAGGGAACAACACATCTCATCATTAGCTTGAAAAAGATGGAAATCATAGTAAGAATTAACTTCAATATGCAAATTAGTTAAGTTAAGAGGGATACACAACTGAATACCATACAAAATGGCCCCAGAAACAGCAGTAGAATAGTTTCCCTGAATAGGACCGGCAAAAGCAATAGATAAATCAGTACTAGTGCCATCCACATTTAACTTAAAGAAATTAATGAGAGGTTTATGCTAGTAGATAATATTAAAAATAGAAGGAACACCCTCCAAGTTTAAACCTAAAGTAGTACCAGCAAAGTAACAATTTTTAAAGTTCTTAACATAAATCAGATTAATAGCCATAAGAGCTAACACCTTATCCTTCACTTTCTGAATAACATTAGGATGACTCATTCTCACATTATTGAAAAGGGATAGATTCCTTTCCAGCCAAAGAAACAAAAGAATGAGGGAATGAATAACATTGCGTATGTGACCTTTGGAGTTAAATGTGGATGGCACTAGCTGTACAAAGAACTACAAGGTGCTTCAGATGCTTAGCCTCCAAAATAAAATAAGAGCATGGCCAAGTGTGGCTGGCATGAGTATTTTACAGTCAACAATCCAAGAGAAAGAGAACATATACGATCTGATGTTTCAAGTACCTTCATTATAAGAACATTGGGGAAATGAAACTTCTTACTTAAAATGATCAAGGAGTCACTGGTTATGGTGGAGGTAACATTGTCAGCCGTGGCCACGTTGTGAGGATTCTTTAGACCTTTAAATTGGATAACAGAACAATCTCGTTTGGTTAGGGAAATTTTAGTGGTGTGATCGCCTATTTGATCTTTTAAACTAAATAGAGGAATTGAATTTGGGTATGGGGATGCCACCTATCAAAAATAATGGAAATCCTCTAGAGTAAGAAGAAAAATGGGAGAGAAAGAATGAGGAAGGATAAAAATTCTAACTTCTACAAAAGAGAGGGGCACTAGTTCTTAGTAGGGGATGCCACCTATTCAAAATAGTGGAAAGCCTCAAATGTAAAAAAGCTAGAGGGACAAGAGAGGAAAAATTAATCCCTGCCTAGAGGGGTATTTATAGAATGAGGGGGGGGGGATTGTTTAAAATAAGGAGAAATTGTTTTAAAAAGAGGGGAAAATTTGCATCAAAAT